AGTTTGCGCAGGTGAAAGGCGCTCCCGTAGCGCCGGATGCATCCGTGTCGCTTCCTTAACCTGCGATCAGCGTCCTGGAGCCCCACCTCAGCGACCCCGACAGGACAGAGCTGATCGATACCTGCCTCGCTAGCGTGCTCGCCCTCCCACCGCTGGACCCGGGGAGGGAGAGGGATGAGAACGGAGGCAATGTCTTACACAAGGAGGTGCCGTATCCAGCGCCGGCTGAGTTGCCCGTGCCGCTGGTTTGCCTGCCTTGAGCTGGCGCTGGCAGCACGACGCCGATGCGGAGCCAATGTTGGGTCGCTCACGCCCACGGCTTTGTCCTGCGGCGCAGGAGCTGCGGTCGTGGCCCCTCTGGGACACTGGTTTTGGGGCAGCGCACAGTCGTATTTTCCCAGTCCCGTGAGCCGTCGGGTCCCCGTGGCCCCAGCGTCTCCCCGGCAGCGGATCAGCCGTGGGAAAAGCCCGTTTTTGATTCAGCTGGGCACCTCGGGGGGAAGCGACCGCGCTGTTTCCCCTGCTCACTTATCTCTTGAAAAAAACCCGGCCCTTCTGTGCGCTGATAGCAAGTGAGAAAATATGAGCTTATCAGCAAGTCCAAATGCTGCTAATAAGAGCGTGAACTCCCTCGAGGGGAAAAATCAAATGATCCTGGAAACCCCGCAGGGCAGAAGGGGCCTTTACATAACTGGCTTTTGAAAGGCTGCAGCTGCTTCTCAGTTGTGGTTGAGTGCTTAATGAATGAAAATAACATGCTGCTAATGAAGTTGTTGCAGCTGCTGGGTGGCTGCAGAGCAGCCCTGTGCTCAGCCGTGTCGCCCGCCGCTGCTGCGGCTTTCCCGGCGAGCTGCAGAGCAGGAGCCCGGGGCTCTCACTGTCCCCGGCTAGTGTTTGCAAGCATCTGGCCTGAAAGTTTAAGTTAATAATCACGTTCTCCTTCCCTTCCGTCCCATAGAGCTTTGTAGTTTGGGTTTTTTGGGGAGTTTATCCCAAAATAAGTTCTGGAAGGAAACCGTAAGCACCTATCAAAGGGCTCGTTCAGACTGGGCTCGCTGGACTTTATCCCCAAGTGGGAGAAGGACCAAATTTCCTCCTGGGAAGTCTGCGCCGAAGCATCTGTGCTGGCGTGCTCGGCTCTGCCAGCTGCTGGCACTCGGCGCAGAGCACGGCCACCGCTGGGCCGGTTCCCACCGCCTGCCCGGCACTTCCAGGGAAGGTGGATTTTGCAAACTGGGGTTTCAGTCCCTGTGGGGGTTTCCTGCTAAGCTGGAGGTGGCTGCATCTCAGCACCCAACGCCTGGGCGAGTCCCACGAGCTGAGAATAGGGGCAGAGAGAGGTCTTTCCCTCCTCGTGTGCCCGGGGCGGCTGTGGGGTGAGGCACAGGGCTCGCGTAGCTTCTCAGCAGTCTTTCCTCCTTAGGTGCTGTATGGTGACACCATCAGTGCCCTTAAAGACCTGCTGAAGAGTCTCCTGCAGAGGAACTTGACCCCGCACGGGCTGCAGGACATGTTTGCGGTAGGCGCAGGCTGGTGGCGGTGGGTTCTTTGGGGAGAAGCAGGGGAGCGGAGGCGCCTGCCTGCCAGGCAGAGGTCAGGAGGCAGAGGCAGCTTTGGACCCAGAGTGGGAATTAGTGAGACGGGTCCTCACTTCTCCGGCTGTCGTGAGGTCCGGTGTGACCTCCTGCAGAGGCTGAGCACGTGGCACGGCTGCTCTGGCGTGGTGCTCACGCCGCCCGGTTGGGGCACGGTCTGTAGGGGAGGAAGCACCCGATGGCCCCTTTGGCACTCAATGGCCCCTTTGGGCAACCCTGCTGTTGCCTGAGAAGGGTGGCCAGCACGTAGCTGATGAGGAGGGCTCTGGTTAGCGGTAGGGGGGACGCACACGCAGCCTCACCAGGAGGCAGAGACCCCGTGTTCTCCTGAAGATGGAGCCAGGATGAGCTGGTGGGGTCAGAGCCATGGTGGCCACGGCCCACGCGTGCCCCACGAGTGGCTGGGCTGAAGGACGCCTTGGCTGCACGCAGCAGAGCAGCCGAGCTTCTACCTCTGCTTTCTGACGCTTTCCCCCTGTAGCATTTAGGGCCCTGGATCAAGTCGAACAAGGAACACGAGCGGCAGCGAGCGGTGGAGGTCAGCGCCGCGTTGCTGGATTTCTACCTGAGCAAGCTGAACGTTAGCGTGAGTAAGCCCCGCGCTGGAGCGGCGTTCTTCCTGGTGCTGTCAGCCTCGCTGGGGCTCGTCCGTGCCACCCTCCCTACGGGGCTGCGAGGAGGGGAGATGCTCTACCTGCTAAAAGCGTCCCCGTGCTCTCCTTGCTAACGTTCACCTGTGTTTGTCATCCCTACAGACCGTCATCCCCTTCTACAACCTCGGCGTCCTGATCGCGCTCTTCTCCCCGCGCTGCTCGGACTCCCTGGCCAGTGTTCGCCAGCACGCTGTCGACTGCGTCTACTGCCTGCTCTACATCCAGCTCTGCTACGAAGGTGGGCGCGTGGTGGCGTCGGTGCCAGCAGCAGGAGCCCCCTTCTCCGCAGCCGGGCAGAGGGGTGCACATCCCATCCCTCCACGGGTGCCATCCCGTAGGAGCAATCCGCGAACGCGGTGTGCGGCGGGAGTGGGGCTGGTGGAACGCACCATTCAGTGATGTTCTCCAGCAGCGTTGGGGTCTCCGAGGTTCACCCCAGGGCTTGAGCGCAGGCCAGCAGGTCTCTGAGCCTGTCTTCAGCCTGGCGTTCTCCCTCTCTCCAGGAGAGGTCAGTCCTCCACTTCGGATGGCGCAGGCGGAGGCACTGAGATAAGGGCTTCGAGCACAGCGCCAGGAGAGGACTTTGTCTGGGTCCTGCTCTCCACAGCGGTGGGGCTCCTCGCAGGGCAACCTCTTCTAGCCCTCGGCAGCAGCTTCACTTTCCTGCCCGCTTCCCCCTTACCTGGGTCAGGGCAATGCCAAGCACAAATCCAGGCTGGGGATGGAGGGATGGAGAGCAGCGCTGCCGAGAAGGGCTCGGGGGTGTCAAGGGGGGGATTGTGGCCCTCTGCTGCGCTCTGCTCTGGGGAGACCCCCCTGCAGTGCTGCCTCCAGCTCGGGGGCCTCAGCACAGGAGAGACATGGACCTGGTGGAGCGGGGCCAGAGGAGGCCACTGAGATGCTGTGAGGGCTGGAGCCCCTCTGCTGGGAGAGTTGGGGGGTTCAGCCTGGAGAAGAGAAGGCTCCGCGCAGACCTCAGAGCCCCTTCCAGTGCCTAAAGGGTCTCCAGGAGAGCTGGGGAGGGACTCTGCATCAGGGAGGGGAGCCGTGGGACCAGGGGGAACGGTTTGACACTGACAGAGGGGGGATTTAGGTGAGATCTGAGGAGGAAATTCTCTCCTGTGCGGGTGGTGGGACACTGCCGCAGGTTGCCCCGAGAAGCTGTGGCTGCCCCATCCCTGGAGGTGTTCAAGGCCAGGTTGGACGGGGCTCTGAGCAACCTGGGCTGGTGGGAGGTGTCCCTGCCCAGGGCAGGGGGTGGTAAGGTCCCTTCAACCCAAACCATTCCGTGATTCTATGATTCCTGAAAGCTAGGCCAGCTCTCAAGTAAAGCCCATCTCTCTGCAGTATGTGGAGGTCTCTTTTGGGTGTAAAATATGAGGAATGCTGTTCACTGACTACTCCCTCTGAATCCAGGTTTTGCCCGGGATCACAGAGATGAGATGGTGGAGGGCCTGAAAGCTCTGAAGAAAGGCCTGGAGGAGCCGAACTTCACCATTCTCTTCCATACCTGCAACAACATCGCCATGGTAAGGTGGAGGGCAAGTCCAGCACAGCGCTGGTGTTTGCAGGGTGGTGGTGCTGGGGAGTAGAGCTGCACAGGACTTGATGCCTCGTCCCTTCTGACCAGCCACGCGCTCTGGGGGCTGCTGGGGCGCCCCAGTCTTGCGCCAGCAAACAAACCATGGCAGTCTTCTCTCCTCCAGCTGGAGAGTCCTCCTGGCCTGGCCAGGGGATGCTCGGAGCAGTTCACCCACGCTGGGAAGCTGCTGGTCCCCTCTTTGGGCATGAGGGCCCCAAGGAGGACATGTGTGCGGACACTCTGGGGGTGCAGTGGGCGCCGGCGGGGACGGCTGGCTGTGCTGTGGCTCAGTGCCTCCGTTCAGGGTTCTGATGGGCGGCTTGAACTCTTCAGCCATCGGTGTTCCCAGCGGTGGTGTCGCAAACTTCCTTTGCTGTCCGCAATCCAAATAGTTTCTGTCCTTGTCATCTAAAAGCCGTGGTGGAGGTGGTCTAGCTCAGCCCTATGGGACATGCCTGGAGCCCTGAATGGAGCTCTGCAGGCGTTGCTCCAGAGGGACTTGGAGCTGTAGAGAAGCTGGTAGTAAATTTTTGCCCTGGACAAGCTGCCATTCCCCAAATGTTGTGGCTCTAATGGACGTTCCCCCTACTAACATCTCTACCGAGCAGCTTGTTCCACCCTCAGGCCTGGAGAGCACGACAGGACCTGGGGGAGCGTCCTCCCGGCAGTTGGGTGGTCGCCAGAGTGGAGTTAATGGCATGGTTGCATTGCCCCAAGAGAGCCCCAGGTTATGCGGCCGTGCTGGCCACCAGCATGGGGCAGGTGGCCTTTTGCCTCCTCTGGGGCTGCAGCTCGGCCCTTGTTCCCCTCCGTGACCACCAATTTGGGCTTCTGGCTGATGCTCCTGCAGGGCACCCAGCCGAGGAATGGCGTCCTGCCCCTGGGGAAGCAGTGCAGGGGGCCCCTCGTCCGGGCTCTGCCGGTGTCGCCGAAGGGACCGCTCTCTTCAGAGAGTGACAAAAAACGCATCGCTTAACTCTGCTCGCGCTCTCCCTAGGTGATCGGGAAGCGTGTCCCTCCGGACCAGCTGATGAGCCTCCTGCTCGCCATGTTCGAGGGGTTGGCGGACCCCGATAAGAACTGTTCCCGAGCAGCCACCGTCATGATCAACTCCCTCCTCAAGGAGCGCGGCGGCGTCTTGCAGGAGAAGGTAAGCTGCCGCTCGGCCTCGGCACGGCCTCCGTGGTCCAAACGCAGCCCGGGAGAGGCAGCTCCGGCTGGGTCTTGCTGCCTCCCTTTCTTCCCACGTGTGTAGCCTGATAATCTGCCGCTTGCAGCCGCTGGTTTGCCGGGGGTGACGGGCTTCTCCGGCACAGGCAGGGATGCTCCAGTAAGGGGCAAGCCCTTGGCCAGAGCGTGGTGCCCAGCACAGGGAGGGATCAGCCCCGATGGAAGCAGGGAGGCATTTAACCCCTGTCTGCAGGGACTCTGTATCAACTGTTGGATTTGTGGCCAGGGCAACTCTTGCCCTGAAGCTTTTGGGGGCTGTCGCTCCTGACCTTCCTTGTTTCCCGCGGGCACGTGCGCTCGCGCGCTCCCCTCCGTCCTCGCGGTCGGGGAAGGCTGCTGTGTGGTAGGCGGTGGCGGCGGCTGCTGGCGAGGTCGGCTCCGGTCTGGCTCTCGCTCGGGTTGAGGAGTTCAGAGCAGCTCACTTTACCAGAAGGGCTCAGGCTCCCGGCGAAACCTTCGCGAGCTCTGGGGGAGCCCAGGGTTCCTGGCTGGAAAGCCAGTCGGAATGCTTGCAGGGCTTAGAGGTGCCGGACACAGAAGGCTTTTTTTGTCTAATCCACTACCTTTAGGGCTAAGCTCCCCCTTTCTCCTGCAGTAATTGGAAACACCGGGTCTCTCGCTACTCCTTGGGCTCTCTTTTGCGTTCGAGCTTCTGCTCCAGTCCTGCTCGCTACCTATTAGCCTCTATTCTACATGGGATTGCTCCAGCTTACATGACTCACCTTTTGGTCAGAGCCAGGCCAGCCCAGATCCTGAAATCTGAACTGATGCTAAGCCCCGGAGTCCGTGGGGCAGACCCGAGCGCAGCTGGGGACGGAGCGCTTGGCTGCTCTGCACTTAATCTCGGGAATTTGCTGCCAGGCCTGGGCTGCGCGTGAACTTCCTATTTGCCTTAACGTGCGTTTTACGGCTCGCGGCGAGTGCCGAGGTGTCTCCCTGCGTTCAGCTTGAGTTCCTCTTCGGAACTCGCTCGCTGAGCTCCTCTCGCCGCACCCGTGTCAGGGCTGGGGCTTAGCGTGATCTCCTGGCCAGCAGGATGGGGGGCGGAGGGTGTCCTTGCTGGGTCCTCTTTGCCCTGGGGATACCCTCCAGCCTCATCCCTCCCCTGGGTAGGGAAGGATCCATGACTTCCAGAGAGCTCTGCGGTTCTGCACGCACCCGGTGAGCAGGGAGACTTCCCTCGACCGGGAAGATAAACTGCCCTGCGTGATGTTCTGCCCACCCATGTTGTCTTCTGCAGTCCCGTTACCTGCCTGGGCTGCGATGGAGGGGAAGGGACCCGCGTGTCCCAGCTGCGGGGACTGTCTGAGGGTGACCCCAAGCGCTCGGTCCTCAGCTGGATGCCGCCGTCTCCTCTTCCTTCAGGTGCCCGACATCATGAGCATCATCCACAGCAAGCTGGAGGAGGTGGACGAGGAGCACATCCGGAAGGCGGCCCAGCAGACGGTTTATATCCTGGCCTCCCAGCACAAGAGCATGGTGGTCTCCAGCCTGCTGGGCAGCGCCCTGCCCTTCGACAGGTCCTGCCCCGCTCTGCCCCGGTGGCCCGTCGCCCGGGCTTCGCAGCAGCTCGCGCCTAAGCTGCAGATAATCTTTTGGCTCCTTACGCCAGTAATCAGACCCTGCTGGAATTTCCTTTGGGCGCTCCAGGCTCAGCGCGGCCGCTTGCCGATGGAGCTGCCTTGCGAGGGGCTTGCTGGGCTTAGAGGCGCTGGCGGCGGCGAGCAAAGGTGGCCCCGGGGAGCCCAGCGCGGCTGGGATGCTCGGCACTGCTTTACGGGGCAGCCCACCTACCCCAAAGCCGCTGAGACGTTCTCCTCCTCCTCGTACCGCAACCGCTGCCCCGTTCCTGCCACAGCAGGCGGGCTTGTGGCGTTCACGGGGGGGGGCCTCCGCTGTCGCAGGGGGCCGCCGTCCAGCCTCCCCCGGTGTGCAGCCACCCAGGACGGTTCTCCCACCGGGACTTGCCCTCGCAGGCTCCTGCTCTCTGTGCTGGTTTGTCACCCCCTCAAACGAGGGAGTAGTTAACGACGGCGGCCGGTGCCAAAGCAGCGCTCTCCTCCTTCCCCTCCTGTAGCCACACGTGCGCCATGTGGAGGGCCCTGGCCACCGAGCCCACCCTCACCTCGCAGATCCTGGAGCAGCTCCTGGAGAAGGTCAACAGGGACGTCCCCTACAAGGAGAGCAAGGGCTTCCCGCTGCTGGGGAGCGGATCCGAGCGCGTCGCCACCCCTCTGCCCCTGGCCGTAAGTGTCCCCCCTGGCCCCATGGAGGACGCCGTTCCCCACACCAACACCTGCGACGCTTTCTTTCATTTCCTCGGCTCGGGGGGACGGGGGGGGTTGTGCCAGGCGCGGACTCTGGAAATAACGCATCGCTGTGTAATGCCTATTAGAGCTAATCCACCGGCTCGTAAAAAGCCTCTCAGGTGTCCATCCTCAAGGGAGAGCACTTTGCATTTTATCCCTTCAGAAAAAAGAAAAAAAAAAAAAAAAACAACCAGCTCTGCAGCTTTCTAAGCAGTAAAGCAGCTGTGAAAATTTCCTCCTCCTCTGAAGGACCGAATGCAGATGGTACGGAATGAGCCGCACTGAAAGCAAACCCTCCTCCCCTCCCCGCTCTGTTTTTAACACCCCTCGATATTGTGCCGTGTAATTACGGCTTTGTAAATTGGCCGGAATAGGGCTCTGCGAAGGGCGCTGTGTGCGCGTCGTCTTCCTGCCCCTAAAACCCCCGACCCTCGGGTCTGCTCTCCTTCCCCAGGTACAGATTTCAACCCCCCCCAGCTGGAAACCCCCTGCTCTCCCGGGGAGCCGCGCTTTTAATAGCCGCCAGAGCTCCGTCCGAGCTGCGTGTGGGATACGGAGAGGTTACGCTGGGGTAGATGCCGATGCTTTGTTTGACTCGGTGTTGCAGGAAGGAGGGAAAAAAAAAACCCCACAACCCCTCTGGCTGCCTCGCTGGGTTATTTACTAACAGATATCAGCGTGGTGTGGGAGATCCCCCCCTAATCCTCGTCTCCCGCGCGTTCGCTCTCTCTCCAGGCCACATGTGCTTTGTATGAGATCATGTCTGCTCCGGAGTCTGGGGCGGCAGTGCTGGGACTCTACCCGCCGTTGTTTGTGACTCTCCTGCTGCGCCTCAGCTGCACCGTGGGTGTTCAGCTACCGAAGAACCTGCAGAGCAGGGAGAGGAGGAGCAGCAGCCACGGGCCCGCTC